TCTCGAGGGTCGCTGAGTTCAGAAATTACAGATACTTCCAAAAAATTCACGTTTTTAAAATTACAGCTCCGCACAGGACCACTGAGCGGCTGGTTGGCGCTCAGTGGGCCTCTAAAGTAGCGCTACGGAGCTGCAATTTTAAAAACGTGAATTTTTTGGAAGTTTCTGTAATTTCTGAACTCAGCGACCCTCGAGAGTCTCTAATAATGCATTTTGCTCAGTTTGAACATTTAATCTGATTTAATAACAGTCAAATCCGACTTTTTTGCGCGCGAAAATCGGTCGGCGCGCGTTGAGCGGAAACTTCAAATGATCATAACTCCGGAACCGTTCGGTTCCCCAGCTTATACGACCACTCGTTGGATGCGTAAAAAGACGAGTAATTTAAAAAACTGGGTTTGGTTCAAATCAAAAAATGTGAAATTTCAGTTTAATCTGTTTAAAAGAAATTTTTTTCCTCAAAAACTGGAAAAAAGCACATAAGTTAATTTAAAAATTTAATTTTGGGATTTTGACCTTTAGAATCTTAAAGTATGCAATTTTAGACGATTTTTCGTCCAAACCGGGCCTCAATATCTTGTTTCGTTCGAAAGATGTCGAGGTTCACAGGATTTGACTTCCACCTCCCTAGCGCCCCCCCAAAATTTGTTGGGGGTCTGAAAATTTGGGGAAAGAAGCGCTCCAGTATTAGTAACTGATAGACGAAGTTTGAATAAGTTTTAGTGGGGGGGCGAAAAATGTCGTTTTTGCATACGGCTCTTTGTTGTGAAAGTATTTTCATCGATGTCAACACTCATGCCTAAGAGGAACAAAATCCTCCAAAGAAAACGGAAAATAATTGTTCGGTTTGTTCTTTAGCGAAATGCTGCCCTTCTTAGAAAAATTTTAAACATTTAGGTGACTGTTCGCGTATATAATTTTCAATGTTATACTGCAGCTAATTTTATAGGAAGTCATTTTTTCATAATTTCTGCATTCAATGAGCCATGTATATACTTCTAAGAGATCTTTTCTTCAAAAGCAACACTTGTTGAATCAATGAGAAACTTTATTTGACATCAAGACATCAGAGAATACATGACAAGTAATTAATACCTCTCTTGATCATGGCTCAAGCTGCTTTGTTTGCGAAAGTGAATGTGGTTGCCAAAGTAGTCCTAGCTACATGACCTCAGTAGAATCATGTCTTGGCTTGCTTCTTTTTTCCTCCCACTTCCCTACACGGGTTCAATCTAAGGTAACCTCTGGTAGATGTGCAATTTACGCCATCCTGACCAAATGTTAAATAGAGAAGTTGCGCTTCCTTTCCATCCAAATCCTACTGTTGAATTGGTTATGTGCCTTGTAATGTTCGCAAACTTTTTTCCCTGGATCTATACTGCTTCCAGTTTTTATCAGAGTCCTTTGTTTTACTCATTTTCATTTGCCTTAAATGTCATCGTACTTTCTTCAGTCGTTGATCATAATGAATACCTAGCTTATGCTGCAAATACTCTGATTAAAATCAGTATCAAGTGTGAAGTGTCCAATATTTATTTTTGGCAACAGTTTACATTTCTAAAAGCAGAGATTTTGTTTAAGAGTAAGGGGGAGGGATGATAGAACAGAGATCTCATGCAAGGACATCGGAAACTTCAACAACTTGGCCTCTAAATAAGGTCGGAACTAGATAAAAGAAGTCATATTTTTTTTCTTCAAAATAGTATGTGAAAAATGACTTATACAACAGTGAGTTTGGAAATCAACCTCTAGACTGAAAATTATAAATTGTTTTATCGCAAGTCGAATAGAAGGTAGGATATACTAATGATGCCTTTTGTATTTGTGCTTCTCAACCATTGTTACAGCTAACACTTCTATCTTGTCTAGAAGTTGATTTCTGGACTTTCCGCTGTTTAATTAATTTTCCTCGTAAAATTTTGAAGAGATAACATGCTCCATTGTGCTTTAATTCATAGCTTGTCAAGAGGTCTAATGAATTTAAATACTTTCCATCTTGTATCACGAACATTATTATTATTGTCGGCTTAATTTCATGACAAACCATAAATGTACTGGTTTAGAACTTCATCCATTATTTTTCTTATGTTTAGCTCCTTACAATTTTTTTTTTCCTAAGTTTGTGTGAAATTTCCTTAATTTTTGGTGAGCTCTCTTTTATGTGTGATCATGCTTCATTCCTGTAATATTTAGTTTTTTTTTTTTTTTTTTTTTTTTTTTTTTTTCCACTTCTCTGCAAGAATTGCCTAAATTTTCTGTGGCTTTAAACTCTCTGTTTCGAAACAACACTCGGCATCAAATTTTCTTTATTTTTATTTATTTTAAGTGAAAATGGTCTTTATGACGCTTCTACATATTTTTCAATCGGAATTTTCTCCAGCCATTTAACTTTTATCACAAAAAATTTACTTATCGTTCAGGCCTGACGCTCTTTTTGCAACATTAATGATGGCACGCATTGTTTTGAGAAACCTTTTTACACGCTTGTTAAACGATTGCAATATAGCTCTTGTATGTGGCTGAAATTTTACAATTTTGCTGTAAAAAGTTAGTGGTCTCATCAGTGACATCCAGAATTCACTTTCAAGCCCATAAAAGCTTTAATAATTTATTTTAGCAGTACTGTTAATACTTTTAAGAAGTGGACCTTTTCACGTAGAGGAGTTTCTCTCAATTTTTTGCCAATCCATGAGCTACAACCATCAAGACCTGATTCTGTGACATACATAACCGACCCATTGTCTTGCGCTAAGACACTAGCTGAATTTTAAAAAATTCTTGATTGCGTTTAAGGCAATTATAGACTTGACATATTTAATCAATCATGTTTCCCACATAATTTTACCTCCATGCCATGTTAAGATTGCAAACCGCAGCTACTTATAAGAGTCTCATTTTTTACTTGGACACACCCAGCTCGAATATCGAGTGTGATCTATCATCCCTAAATGCTGAAGACCCAGAACGCAATTCGGTGTCCGCAAGATGATGGTGTCTTAAAAAATTTTCTATAAGAACATTGCTTTGTTTGGCATAATCTTCAGAACACTAATGATTCGCTGAGAATTGGATGGACAGAGTTCCCCTCAATAAAAGCTGTTTGCGTATTATTTTTTTTTTTCCGTTTTCAATTTCATTTGAATTGTTACTGACTCAATTTTTTTTTTTTTGGTTTTGTGATTTTAGACTATCAAATCAGTATTTATAAGAGAGACTCAAGTAATTTTTCTTCGATGCCAACGTTACTCTTCTTGTAAATCGAAAAATGAACTGACCAGCATGTGATTTCACCTCTCGGGTTTTATTTTTTCACCTGCATGCTTTTATTGCAATTCAGTAAATCTGGAGAGTTTTTTTATTACCATCATTTTCTTATCAGTATCTCTAGCAAATGCATATTTTCAGACATTAAGATGTCATGGAATGTTCATTTCGAAAATATTATAAATCGTTTTAAGTGCCTAGAATGTCTTGAAATTTCAACAGAGTTTTCTAAAAGTTTCGTTGTAAAGCTATCAGAAGCAGTGTCAGGCGGCGATTAATTATTGCTTGTATTAGGTAGATTTTCTGTCAATTTTTCTCCAAAAATTTTAGATGTCCACAAAAGTTCAAAAGAAATATTCTCTTCAAGCTTTGATCCTATTAGATTCTGCTCTATATTTTCTTATGATAGCATTGAAAGTACTTTTACCAAAACATAAGTCAAGAGGCGTGTTATCACTATTTGCTCCTGTTGTCAATTTCCTGCAATTCGGGCCGAAGGTTTTATTTTGAATAGTTCTCTCATTTTATTCGAGGTTTAGTCGCACATTTTTTACCACTATAAATTGAATACTCATGCAGTTTTTCTAAATTACCTAGGTAAATGGAAAACTTCAACCTGTGTAAATATTCTTCTCTCCACGCCACTTTTAAATATTTTTTCTCTAACTCTTTGAATTTGCTTTGTTGCATGTAGGTTTTACAAATTTTCTCTGCTCTAAACAGTATCAAATATTCTGCCAATGTTATCTACAAATATTCCAAAATTTTACCGCGTAATGCCAGCACACTCGCACTGTTCTAAATTATTTTCCCCATGTAATTTTTTATTTTTCCCTACCTTACTTTATTTCATTTTATGATTCACCCTTTTCATTTTATTGAAGTTAAATCCACCCTTAAACTGTTGCTACATTGACTTATAAAACTAGAGAGTAATTTCAACATTGAATTCTGGACCAACTAACTCGGATGATGAAAGTCTTGGTCATAAACTAAATACCTTGAAGTTAGGAACCTCTGTCTTCTGGACAGTTGTTTCAGTGCCTAGCAATGTAATTATGAATTAAATGGATTAATAGTCTCAGGGTGTGTTTACCTTAAGTTGTCTCTTAACTATCAACCATTCCATGTAGTTATAATCATTGATTGAATGTAAATACTTACCTTAAAGTTTTTTTAGTTTAGTATAATTTTGTGTCTGAAGTATTTTTCACCTAATTATCAACTCTCACTGTGAACATGCACCAGAGTGTTTGGTTTATTAAAGCGTGACTCTGTACTTTTTTTACGATTTTTTGCTTGAATGTGCTTTAGTATTTTCCTTCTTTTTTTTATTTTTTTTTTGTTGGATTGATTTTTTAGAATTGTTGTTCTTTCTCTTATAAAAAAGGAGGAAGAAAAGAAAAACTTGTTGCGTAAACAACTTTCCTGAAATTCTTGTACTCAGGGCTCTTAATTTATCCTGCACTTCAATAACAAAACCATCAATAAATAAATTTTTTTATTTTTATTTCAGTAAGTTTTAATTTTTTTCATCTAGAAATCCAAAGTAACTGTTTTTTTAGGAGAGCAATTTATTTTCGACGTAAACTTCTGTCCCAAAAAGATGGAGAAGAAGGTATTGATTTTCAAAGCAGTGTTGATATTTTTTGTCTTGACATCTACATGTTCCTCGATTATTTTGCCCAAAGTTTCATTCCAAAATATAAAAATCCAGTATTGGCCTCTCAGAATGTTTGCGCCAATCAGAAGGAGCACTTCAACCACTAACTCTTTAAAGATTGTTAATTTAGCTTTATGTCGGCGATACCTAGCGGGAAAGAAACAGAAAGTGAGAAGTTGAAAGATCAAAATATGAGTTCTAGAAAGGAATGCAGTGCTCAAGTGGGATCACTGTTTTCTGTTTTTTCTTCAAGCTTCAAAATAGATAAAAGGGTTGATTCTATGGGTTACGTCTCAAAAATCGAAGCTCAATCAAAAGAGCACAATGTAATTCTCAACTCAGGAAAGGAAAAAGGATCAAAAAGGAAGTTTGCTAAAAGCATTTAGAGAAAATAAGATTGACGAAAGCTTCTGTAGACGTTCATTTCAAATCGGAAATGTGAGATTAGATGATGCTTCATAGTAGGAAATTTATCTGTAGACATGGAACAAGACTGAAAGTACTTTTTAAGCACTGACAAAGAAGGTGAAGATTGAAGAATTGGAGGCTTGACCAATACCCATAAAATGAACTACTTTTTTCGGATATTTAAAACAATTATATCCTGTAACTCACCAGAAACATTCAAACTGTAGTCTTGTTTCCTCCTCTCTCGTTCTTCCGCGCTGATTAAAGCGCAAAGGATTTTATTACAATAATTTTACTTTCATCTTTTGTCAGATAATTTTTTCATAATTCATTAGATGATCATAATAACATTATAATTCGCAAGTGAACACGGTGCACACTCTGTAATTTGAAGCTGAAGGGGCCGATGATTTTTTTCAAATAAGCTCTATAACTTGAAATGACTCGCCTGTTTTTTTATAGATGTGCCATTCTTTCTTCAATACATTGAAGTATCACTCTCACAACTATAGTGCATATTACACTCCAAAATTCCGCATTACCTCAGTCTAGAGACTGATATTTATTAGTCGTGGTTAGATGCAAAAATTCATCTTTAATGCAGACTGATGTGAATGAAGATTCCAAGCTCTGTAATTTGAACAGCCTTTAAAACCTTTTCAAACGGTAGAGCATACGGTTCTGCACTTTCAAAATACAGATCGTTCAATATTGAATTTGAATCACAGAGCGCTTCTGAATACGGTCTCAAATTTATTCAAATTGATTTACTCGCCGTTTGGGGACCAAAAAATGGCCAATTAACGAGGGGAGACATTTATATTTTATTTGGGAAGTGAGAAGATCTCTCTTTTAGAAACAGGTTTTTCAAATTAAAGAGCTTCTAATTCGCAAGTGTGCACTGTATGTGTGATTATTTTATCACAGCTGACTTTGTACATATGAGTATAAGTAGTGTCAGAATCATATTCACTTTTTTCTTTTCAGTTGCAATTCAGCACAAAAATGAAATTTTAACTGTCCCACAATGTCTCCTTTAAAGGTTAATTAATGTACTTTATGAATTTGTAAGAAGAAAAAAATTTCATTCTGGACACATAATACGTACTCGTCAAGTGCACAAAAATACCAAATTGATAGTCTTTGTAAGAAAAACAACAAAGAAAAACATATTTATCCCTGAAGCTATCATGGAGCTAAGATTTACAACAGAACTCATTAATTGTGTAAGACCTAGTTAAAATAACAACAGGCTCATGGATGAAGTGTAAAATCCTGTAAGCTCTACAAAGGTTTTTAAAGCCAAGCAAGTGGTCACTAGACTAATGGTGCAATCTAAAGTCACGCCAAAAATTTTTCATATGGGATCATTTTCGAGAGCTCCCCCAAAATTCAGAGTGAATGTTTACGAACATGATCCAAGCGAGCCTAGATCATAGTCGCTGAACCATGCCAATGTTGTCTCTCCATCTTTCCTTTTTGATAGGCTCATCTTATTCCTGCCCCTTTGTGATGGTAGAATCGCTACAGCCAGCAGGATACTTCTCTCTAAGAGGAGGAATTAAACTAAGAAGTGTATTTTACCCTTTTATTTTTACAGATGAGTTACCAGATTTTTTCAGTCTCAGACCAATTTTGAGGAATTAGACTACTTTGGTCTTTTCAGTGAAGCTTAGTTACTTACAAATTATTTGTTTGATTTCATGAGATAACCTCGTTTTTCAAATGATCCGATTTGTAGAGCTTGTCAGAAAAAAATGTTTCTTGTAAGAATCTATGTTATTTTCTTCATTTAAAGATCATCTGAATAACATCATGACTCATAACAGTCTTAATTCTATTGATCATTGGATAGTTAAAATCACGGAAGGTGAGAATTAATTTTTTTTTCGATTTCATTTTTTTCCCCAAAGCTTCATCTGGTTCAAGAATTTTAAGATACAAGATGCCTGCGAAGTGTCCACTTTCTTTTGCATGTCAAACATAAAATCAAGATACAAGCAAGTTTTGCTGACACTTTGACCATACTTTTTAGCTGCCTGGAAAATAGTTTTTTCACCTCAGTACACACTTTTTCTAAGGCCTATCAAAAGTCATGGTGATGCTGTACATAATATAAGCCACAGAAATGTTCACTCATATATTTTTGTGCCGCTGAACTTGTTGTTTTCTAATATTATTTCAAAACGTAGTAGAATTTAAATGATGGCAGATCGTGGTACTCGATGTTTTGAGAATCCTTTTCACTCTGTTAACCAAAAATTCATTTGAGAGGGGGAGGCTTTTTTTTCTTAGTGATACAATTGACTGTCTCCGTTCAAAAATCCATCTCATTCAAACATTATATTTTATAGGTATGGCCCACCAAGAAGAAAGTCACTCAACCCCAGCATTCATTGGATCTCCTGAATGTCAACTGAATTTCCCACTCCATTGCAACCCTCCAGGCGGTCATGAAAATATCCTCCTTGAAAATTGCGCCAGATTGTCACTCAGCTTAGGAGAGAACGGACTTCTCAAGGTAAAATTAACGTCTCTTTTCAAGGCTCTCATCAGTTGGGGAATGTATTAAATCCCATGTAATTTTGGAATTTTAATTCGTTTATTCAGTGTTGGTTTAGAAAATCTGGACGTAAAGTTTGCATAATCTCTTTTTATTGTAAATTTGCCTACAGTGTGGTCGAACTCATAGTTGTACTTTGTTTCTTTTATTTACTTACCTATAAATGGTTGCATTGGACACTACTCAACGAATGAAAACTCCCTCAGTTAGAAGCATTTTAAAAGCAATTTACACCATGAAAATAATGCTCTTTCTCCTCCCCTTTTGTGTCATTTTTGACCATAAAATTTTTTTTCTAAATCCTTGACTAAGGTCGCAGACGAGGTTACTGGTGATCTGGAAAACCTCAAAAGTCAGGGAATTTATGCAACCTAGAAAAGTCAGTGAATTTCACAAGTTGCATGCAGCAACCTCAGTGAGTGCTACTCGAAAGAGCACAAACAATATCTGTTTGCCTTTTCCTCAATTTGAATCTCCGTCTGTGGAAATTTCATCTAACTTTTTTAGCAAGAACCAGCATTATTAGAAGGAAAAAATTTAAGTGGAAGCTCAGAAATTTTTAGAGTCAGTGGAAAGCAAAAAAAGTCAGGGAAGATCAGGGAATTGGAAAATTATGAAATTATGGAAATCCGAACAGAGCGCAAGCGGAAAAAAATGAATTTCTGATTTAACAATTTTGTAGTTAAAAAAAGTGTCCAACATGTTTCAATGTAGATTTTACGATAAAAAAATGCTAACTTAATTTGCTTTCTACTATTATAAAATGTACACTTGAAACATGTTGGGCATATTTTTAACAATTTAATGGATAAATTAGCAATCTATTTTTTCTGTGCTGTCATTCTTGTCATAACGTCTTTCCAAGTACAGTGTTCAACTTCTTAGGTTCCTGCTAAAATTCCGTAGTAAAAACCATTTAAAAATGTTTGCATCATGAAGTTTTTTGTCATTGCAATACAAAGTTTGGAAAAAGTAACCCTACATCAAGAAAAACTCATTTCAAGGGGTGAAATGGAAACCGAGTCAGCCAGCCGGTCAATTGCGTTTTTTTTTTTTTTTAGGTGAATGTGTGTGAGGTGGATAAAGAAAGGAAAAAGTGTCAAAAACGACTGTTTTGAACTATGTTTGGGGTGTGAGACTCAGTCTTGAGCTACATTTATTATAATGTCGGTGCAAATAATCAAGTCAATTTGTCAAATAATCATCCACACAGTATCAGAACTGTGCTATTAGGAATATGGAACTAATTTTAAACCAACAGAGCTCCTATTTGCGATGTAATTTTTGATTTGAAGCTATTTTCATTGACGTATGGAAACATTTTAACTCCTTTGAGTTGTGCTAATGGTGTTTTTGTCACTCAGGAGCAGTGCTGTCGCTCCTCATCAAGTAAAGCGGCTGCAAACCATCACATGACAATGGAAGAGCTTAAAGCTGTAAATCGTTATGCTGAAAGTACAAAAAGCCTTTCCTATTTGCCAATGGTAATTCTCACTCTTTGTACGCCCTTGTATTTTTCAACCTGGGTTCGCTTTAAATCCAAGCTCCGGCCAAAGTATTTAACCTAACACCAGCAACACCCATCAAACACCCTAACTCACTCATTTTTTCTTCAGGGCTCAGGAAAGCCTTCACATACCATATTTCATGCAATAATTTCTATCAACCATAAAATGGGAATATACCTAGAGGGATCCACATTGACTGGCAATATCCTAGTTATGAATTGTAATTTGCTAATGATGCAATAAAGTTATTGTCAGCTCTAAATCTTTCATTCGGAGTTTTCTGTTTTTTTCTGGGGGTTGCTCGTAAGGAAATCGCACTCCGAAATAAAGGAGAGGGCTCTAGGCCAATTTAAGAATCTCTCATGCTTCATATTCCTTTTTGCTTATAATATAATGCATTACTACTGAAAACTTCAAGCATTCCTTGAATGTTTCATATTCTAGTTCTCCAGCTGTACATTTCATTGCATGAAGATGAAGGAAGTGTATATCAGTCTCCTACACTACAATGCACGAATTTCACTTTTCCATTCATTTCATCTGTGTGTTGCATGAGCGTACTCTTTGTTCCTAGATTTCTCGCTATGGTTGTTTCAGTGTGAAAGACTGTTCTGCCCCTCATGCATTCATTTACTCTATTTCCAAATAGAAATTCCTCAACTATTTCAATTTTAACCGGTTGAAGTCCATGTTTAAAAGAAGTAATGTTGTTTGAGACTGATTAAATGAAGTAAGCTCCCAAAAAAAAACAAAAAAAAAGCAGCGTAGAAATTGTTTTATGCTGCAAATGTTTGTGTTAATAGTCTCTACTATGACATCTCCAATTTAACAGAAACTAGTTTTTTCTGACAGTTCAATATTGACGGTAAAACTGTAAAAATGCGTATCTGTTGCGGTGTTTCGAGATCTCCGTTACTTTTTTACTTTTCAAAGATCACTTTACAAAATCAATTTGAAAAATCAACATCATGGCTTATAATTTTCATGGGGAAAGGAAGTTTTTAAGAAATCAGGTTTAGTAGTTTTCCATGTGGACAATTAAGTATAGCAGTAAGTCTGCAACTCCACTAACCATGATACGCATTTTGGCAGTTTCATTGTCAACATGTTAAACCTTCATGCCTTGAAAGTTTCTGTTGATATTCCTTGATTAAAAAGAATACCGATGCACACAAATTCTACAGTCATCAGAAAGAATCATTCAAAGTCGAAGGTAGTTAGACTGATTCTAGTTGAACCCGCCTGAATGCTCTTCACTTTAAAAAAACCGAAATGTCCTCTTTTTTTTGTAATGGAATGGCCTCTAGAATTTTTCATTTATTCTATCCTTTTATTCTATGATATCTAACTTTCAGGAGATCATCTCGATGTAACTACATAATTTTTTTGGTGTAAAAATGCATGTGGACAGTTTTCTTCAGCCGTAGTCTCTCATTGAATGGTGGTTTCTTACTTTGATTCATTTCATTTTTTCAAAGGTTTTTTTTCTCATAATCAGAACATGGTACCAAAAAACAACAAAGTTTAAACAGAAATAATCAGTTTGCTTGTCAGAAAATTGTTTTGAGAGGGTCCCAAAATATTTAGTACCAAAAAAAACCCCTAAATGGGTTCAAATGTTGCTTTATGTTCGATACTGACAAAGTCACTGCTCCGTTATAAACATGGTTGATGATGTCATCCATCGTAATTATGCACACAGTGGTTTCCTCCACTTTCTTTTTCCAAAAGATGTGCTTTGAGCAAAAAATGTGTGTACATACAAGCATCAGCACTTGACAAATTCAAGGTAGATGTATTAATGCAAGCTCATAGTATGTAGCTATCACTGTGATAGATAGTGTTGTACACTGTTCTTTCGAAAAAGCCGTATCTTGGTTAATATCGGTAAGAAAAGTTTTGTGTATAGATAGAGCTTTAATGTTTTTTGCTCATTTATAATCTGCTCATCAAAACACAATCCTAAGACATTGCAACTGATCCGTCATGATTTCTTCAGCATTTTATTCACTTGATAATCAATCATGAGGTAAAAAATGGACAGTAACAGTCTGTATTTCTGCAATGAAAATGCTCAATTTCTATCGCTTCACAGAAATTAATTTTTGGCTTTGTATTTAATTTCCAATCTTTTTTGTTTGAAATTGTTCAGTTTAAAGAATTTTGGTTTAAACACTTAATTTTGTAACGTCTTAATAAAGACTTGCGCCTAGTTACTAATCCATTTCATCGAGTTTTATCTCACTGTGGAAATCGTAGATTACTTGCCTTTTTAAGTCAATGTGAGACTAAAATCTTATTTTGATGCATGCTACCAGGTCCATGAAAGACAGACTGCCAGAATGAGAACGCGTTCCGAGTGGTTTCTTAATCCCTGTGAGCAGATGTTCCACTTCGATGTTGACAGTGATCCTGCATCCCTTAATATTCTCAAAGGAGCAAACTACGTTTGCCCTGCGACTAATGCTGGTAAGCATCAATTTCAGTCACAATAATTCTCA